AACAGACTTAATTTGATATGGAATGGTATCTGTTAGTGTTTGTTATCTAAAGCACACAAAAGCGAAAAAGCTTCTAGTGCTCCACTTTCTACTCATTTCTTTTTCTCCCTGGAGCAATATGGCTTTTTAGTTTCTTTGTTTCAGTTGCATCTGGTTAAGAGAGAGTGTAATCCTGGGCAAATGTGCACAAACTGCTCAGTAAGTAACAGCTGCACGTGCGCTCTAGTGATTAGATCCTGCCCTAGCAACAAAGACTTCCTATTATTCTCCAGCTTCTTTGCTGACATTCAATAGCTATTAGTTGAATTAGTTGATTTTTTTTTTTTTTTTTTTTTTTAAATCACACTGTGACATGGGCAGGCTCTTTTCATATCTGCCTCAGGCAACACTGATAAAACAAAAAACATTCCTTGTAAATACATGAAAAATGATTTATGAAAAGGGACTACTGGGAAAAAGCAAATAGAAAAGGAATGAAGCAATGCAAATTGAAGAAAGGAAATCCATTGGCATGTCTTAAAAAGCATTAACAGTGACAGCTAAAATAAGATTGCAATTAGTAACGGATTTAGATTCTGTACACGTAAGAAATGATACAACAACCTGCTAACTGGAGACAATACTATTCAAATGTTACTGAGGAACAAAGACCAGAACATAATTATGTGCAAGGAGTGGGAGGTTTACAAGAGATGTTTCAATCTAGTAGACTGAACCACAGCTGAGGAAAGCGTAAAACAATAACCTTGAAAACAAGCATTAATAAGCTACTGTCACAGCACAAGAAGGATAAAGAAGAACATGTTTGTTTACACAGTGAGCCAGATTGTGCCTACAGGCAGACCTACCTTTCGCAAGAGAGTCACATACATATGTGCATAGTGTTTGTATACATATGTGAAAGTGAAATACAGCTTTAACATAACTATAGAGAAGCGTGACTCCACACCCTAGGACTGCATTTTACAAAAGGTCCTACAGAAATAATATCATAGATTATAGCCTGTTTAGTAATAATTTTGACAACATAAGCTCAGAGAAATCATGTGTGGTTGATTTTTTAAAATTATAAATATGCATTTTTTAATTACGACTATAGAAAACAAATGCTCAGATCTGGCTTCTGATGCCTGTGCTGCCATTAATAAATGCTAGTTGTCCCTGAAAGACAGAAACAGCAAGCAACCTCACCTAACAGTAATGTTGTAAAAAGAAATTCATTAATACTGTATTTGCGGAGCACTCAGATACCACAGTGAGAAGCAGCATGGAAAAGCCTATGAGGAAATTAATCATTCCGCGTTCAGTGCAGGATCTGGCAGATGTGCAATAAAGAAAGCCTGGAGACATACATTAAATATGAAGATAAAAAAAGATTCTAGCCATTACCAGCAGAAATAATATCCCCTGAATGAGCATCATCTGCCTTAGGAATTAAATATTTGACATATTCTCATACAATACAAGGGAAAAACTTCTGATTGATGTGGTAAGATTATAGCAAGTACCAGCTGGGTATTCTATGCAAAATACAGAATCTTATAGTGTAATTAAAGTCTATCATAAATATATGCTCTGGGACTAGTATTTCCTCATTTCCGCATGCTTAATTTTGCAACTAAATAACTCTCCCACAGTGCAGCAGTTATTAGCAAGTGTCCATTATCTCAGCGCTCAGAGGCTCCTGTCACCGAAGCTCTAGCTGTGTTATGTATTACCACAGTAAATCAATCCATGTTTCATGCTGCAGCTGCTAGACTACTTCTGTAAAGCGACCCTGTTTTACAGGTAGCTCAAGAGAGTCGGAATAACAAAGACATGACAAAAAAAAGCTTAACAGTGGTGACAAACTTGCAGATTCACAGCTGCCTCAGATATCTGGACTAACATTGCAACTGCAAATTACTAATTTTACTTTAATCAGTTCAGTTCTGCTCTCTCATCCACATAAGATATGCTTTATCTTACCCCATCAGCTCAAATCTTTCAACTTTCTCCTCTGTTAATCAGTAGGGACGTCTGCTGGAGAGGAAGGATGCGTAGGGAGGACTCTAGGATGCACCCCTGGGTTGGAAAAGGTCTATCAAAGCTGCTTTCTACAGTACTTCAGAAATGGGGAGAAGAGGCAAGGGGTCTCCATGCATGCCTGTCTAGAAAAATGAAAGATGTGCTAATATAATCTGTCTGGCAGAATTCTTCTCAACATCTCTGCTGAGATGCAGCAGTGCTGTAACATGTCATGGTTCCTAGCACAAAAGAAAACCCGACTGCATGAGGCAATATGGACAACAACCAAGTACAGTTCTTCAAGCAACCACATGTAATCTCATACTGCTGTGTCAAGACTAAGACTTTTACCTGGGCTGCTTAAGTTAGAAAGGGCACACTACCTGAATATGGAGTGTGAGGTAGATAAACATGGGCTGCAGAATGGCAGCATCCTTAAAGGCTCCCAGGCAGTACATCCTGGGCTGACACCCAAATTATCCCTCATCCTGACCCCAGGAACCAGCCTGCCCAGCCTGTGGGCACAGCTTTCACAGTCTGCTGGAAAAAAGGCAATGTTCTTCCACCTTCTCTGCACAATAGCAAGTGTCTCTTACATTTAGTAGAGACAGCCCAACTCTTGCATACAATCTGCCCTGGAAAGAAGAGGCTCTCCGACGCTTACCTAGCAAGGTGACGGTGGGCTCAGGAGCGCATGAAGCTCCCAGAGCTCCACCGGCTATGCATGTGCTTTCTCTTCATGCTGCTGCCCCTGGCTCAAGCTCCAAAGCATATTTGCTGCTCAGGAAGAATCAGCTCAGTTTACTAGCTGGTGAAAAGAGAGTTTGCTTGGACCTTCCTCTGCCTAATTCAGACAGATACAGCAAGTGGGAACTTGGGTCTGTTCAACCAAATGTATTCTCCATCTTCAGAAGCTTCAAAATTTGGCTGAGCTATTGATATATCTACTGCTTTCTTTCCCACAAGAGGAAAGTTTCTATTAAAAAAGGTATTTAACGTGCTTTCTAAGAGAAACCTGACCAGTTGCAGGGAAAAAAAAATTAGTAATCATTAAGAATATATGCGTCGAAATGATGATGCACAGTTCCCTTTCAAGGATCAATTCTAACTGATTGCTGGGGATGCAGGTGGCCAGTGCCTCAGAAGCAAATAGACTAATAATTTTAGCAGATAGATCTTCCAGGATAGCATAGCAAAGCTTAATGATACATTTGTCCTCAGCTAAGACAATAGTAGTAGTTAAGAGTAATTTTTTTCTCCAGCAGACATGAAAAAGGCTAATATGGATACGTTTTCTATTTACTGTGGTTTTAGTATTATTGAACTAATGGAAACTGGAGCAGTCTTTTTTTTTTTTTTTTTTTTTTTTTTTACTCATCCTACCATTTAGTTTATT